GAGTATACCTGTTGGCGATTTCTCATTCGCCGAATCATCAAGACTTGTGAAGACTGCAAAGAATGTACCCTTTTCGGTAAGAACCTGAAATCAACCTTAAAGTCTGACTCCTCTAGGTCGCTACCGAAGTTGTCGTACCCTAACAAGAGATGCAACTTGATTTTGCGGGTCCCATTGTTGACGAAAAAAAAACAAGGAAGTCCTTATCCTAGTCGTAATCGACAGGTTCGCTAAGTTTCCGTCTATCTTAATTACGAAAACGTCATGCGATAATAGTGAAAATTATAAAATCGTGCATTCGCATTCATGGCTTGCTACAGTCGATTCGAACGGATCACGGCTCCGGATTCAAAAATCAAATCTTCAGTCAATTTTAAAAAGAACGAGGGACAAAATACATACTTACACCGGTGGCTGACCATCGAGACAAAGGTTTGGTTGAACGCATGATTCAAACAATCAAACGGAAAGTGGGAACTGAAAAACTTGATCCTAACTTTGGTAACCTAAAATCTACTCTACAACAAATACTCGAAGATATTAGAAAAACCAAACATTCTGTCCTCAAGAAACCCCCTTCTGAGCTCCATTTCGGTCGCAAACCTAAAATTGTAGTTAAATGCTTGTGAGAATTCAATTTTAGGTTTGCGACCGAAATGGAGCTCCCTGCCACTTTTGAGCCAACCGAGAACATCGGGCAAAAAAAATCGTTTTGACACGTGAGGGCTGGAACTGCTACGAGGAACTACTTTAACTCTGTCTCGGCTATTGTCTTGGCTCGCGATCTGTGCTGGAGTCAGCAACAAGTTTCTCTCGATTCCTTGAGCTAAAGTATCATTCACAATGTAGTTAAATGCTTGTGAGAATTCATTGTCAATCATGATACTTTAGCTCAAGGAATCGAGAGAAACTTGTTGCTGACTCCAGCACAGATCGCGAGCCAAGACAATAGCCGAGACAGAGTTAAAGTGGTTCCTCGTAGCAGTTCCAGCCCTCACGTGTCAAAACGATTTTTTTGCCCGATGTTCTCGGTTGGCTCAAAAGTGGCAGAGAGCGAACCGTACAAAGCGCTGGAGGATCTGGCAAAGGTCGCAATTGTTTGGGCTCAAAAAAAACGTAACTTTGGAGAAAGGTCGATTGGTTATGAGGGAACTCGCAACTCGCCACTCGGACCTTGCGCAAAAATTTAAGGACGGGGTTAACAATTAACAACTTCAAGTTCTACGCTCAAGCTTCACATCCAACCATCCCAGCGTTGTCCCATACCCAGCGCCTCAAAGTCACGCAAAATTCGGGTCGAGCCTCTAAAACACTTAAATTAGAAAAATTACTTCTCGAAAAACCTAATCGTGTTAGAGTATTCAGGAAAAATATAGACCAATATTCTGGAAAATCGCGAAACTCAGAATTGTCAAAATTACAAGTGACAGGTGCATTACAGACAGGAAACGTATGCCGGAAAAACCATGCTTGTTTCAAGTTTAATCCCAATTTTTGTGACATTTCAGCTAGTCAGGGTGCGCTGGGTGATCTATGCCCGAAAGATGGTTTGGACTCGTAAGGTGGGTGGTCAGGCAATTTACCACCCTTTTGAAAGTCGAACCCTGGTGGTTCAGACCCCTCAATAAAGGTCTGGAAGACTATACTCTGGTGCAATTGCTTGCTTTGCACTAGGCTGAAAACATCGCAACGCCGAATCGCCCCAAAACCACAGTCATCTTCACCACCGAAAGGTCAACATCCTGTTCACTCCAGCGCAGGCCCTACAGTGGTCGACCTCACAGCCGACTCGTCTTCAAGTGACGGTTCGGTAGTCATTCTCAATAATCCGGTGACCCATACTTCTTTGACCCCGATCCCACTCAGGTGCCTCCTACAATGACGAAGAAGGCGTCTGCGGTGACTCTGTCACCACGGAAAGAGACTTTCACGGCCATCGATAAGCCTGTCCAAAACGCGTTGGCGCCAGACTCTCACGTTCTTACCTCATCTCAGCCATAAATCACCCCAGCAACTAAACCGGAGGCGGCCGCGATGGTGGCTCCTGATCCCCCTCAGGCTCCGGAAAGGTCAGAAACGACGAGGTTTTCAGCTCGCAGTAAAAATCCCACAAGTTTCTTTGGCGAACCTTTTCGTCACTCGGTCAAGGCAGTAGAAGAAGAGGCGTCGGAACAATCGTATTCGGCAGTCATACCCATCGTAAATCTTACCTCTCCCCACAAGCGTATCGAGCTCATTCGTCAGCGACCGGGCCCAATTACGCAGGAGCAGGTGACTCCTTTCAAGAAGAACAAAATACAGGAGTCAAAATAGAACAAAACTCATCCTGACATGACTAGGCTCAGACTTCAAAACGTTAAGCTCTTGTATTTTAACTCTTTTGCCATTCTTGTGCAATACTTTCGTTCGCAGTTTATTCTTCGCGCAGGCTGGCCCTGTTATACATTACTTAAACTCAGTGCTAAATTTAATCCTTATCCTAAGGATGCAATTTGTTCTACCCGCGGGGAATGTCATGAGGCGACCTTCAGTACCTCGCTTATCCTATGCCTGTTAAAATTAATCATGTGTATTTACTTATGTATTCGCTATTTTATATGTCTTTACTTAAAGCTACATTTAACCGGTCACAGTGTGGTCCTGTTATCTTTTGCGTTTAGTCAGTTGCGCCATATCCTTAACAAGATGCAGTCATATTCTAAACTGAGTGCCTATTCTGTACCTCTATCTAATCACCATCCATAGTCTAAGTCTATATAAAACGACGTTTGTAAACATTTATTCATTCGATACAATGTATGTTTTATTCTACTTGTAATCCCTCTGTCTATGATACTTATTAATTCATTCACAATTAGCTTTGAACCCTCAGTCATGTGTCAAAACTGGGCGGGTTATTTCAATAGGAAACCTTTTCAGACAACTATGAAACACAAAACATATCATTTTAAACCTAAAACGTAAAAAACATGAACCGTCATACAGCCCGAAATTATTTTTTGGTTATTTGAGAAAAAAAAGTGCTTGGCAGAAAGCTCATATCAAAACTAATATTACATCATTTTCTTCAAAAACGTAACTTTTTTTTCTTACATTTCATTCAGTTTTTATTATGAAATTTTTAGCGCGAAACTAAAGGGCTGTTTTTAATGAAAAAAAGCTAGCCATATAATTAGCATAATTTTTTCAATGTGTTATTTATGAGAATTTATAAATTGCCTTTGATGTCAACCCGAGAGCCAGCTAACCGTGCAGAATAAATGAAGAGCTCCTTCCTTATCCTCGTTTTGGGAAAGATGAAGAGGGTTGTTTATAGTACAGACAGTACTTTTTTCCACACACACACACACACACCTTTTTGTCTTTAATCACAGTCACATTAAAGCCATAACTCCACTGTAAGCATACATGTTATCTTATTCACTAATAATAAATAGATGATTTAAGTAATCATTGAGATTGCAAAAGTTGCAGCGAAGTTTTTAATTAAATCCTACCCTGTAGAAAAATTCATAACAACTTGGTATTATTGAGCTCCCAGGGGACTATAGCTTCATGGGCAAATACTTCAGGGAAAGTTGTTCAACTGTAGCCCAATTACTCAGCTTGCTAATTACGAATTTGCATTCTTGTGCTACTTTTGTACAAAAAAAGATGGACCAGCGACCTATTTAATAGCCAAAAGTCGTTCAAGCTTGAAATAAATTTCAAGCATGAAAATTAAATAGACACATATATCATGAGAGGTCTGGGAATCACAATACTTTAAACTTAGCGTGTTTTCAAGGTTATCCTTTGCAGCCGACGGAATTTGATTGATCATCTTTTCAAGGTGGTTGGTAAAGATTTGAGAGATTCAGATGCTAATTTTCAATTTTTGTCTACAGTTCTGATTTAAATTATCGGGACAAAATGCATTTAACATGAAACTTAAAACGTGTTTTTCTCAAATTGGGTTGAGTTTCGGTAGAAAAAGACAACGAAGACCAATTTGCTTAGAATTTTGCCAGAATTATTATGCGGCAATTCGAGCCCAAAATTTTACCCCAAAAACAATAATTTTGGCTTTTTTAAATAATCAAAAATTACATCAAAGCCACCAGACAAATTTATATCAAAATGAGTCTCATACGTTGCTCAACAAAAATTAAGAAGGGTATGATCTCCAAAAAATGTGCGCAAAAGCCTAAAAACTGTTATCAAACAAAAAATAAAAGTTATATTTAGTAAAAATAAGATTTTTTTATCAAACAAAATTAAGCTATGACGCAGCTCAAATTACATTACATTAAATCAGTTAGAAAAATTCTAAGCAAGTTTTATCATCATCGTAGTTATCACTAAAACTCAACTCAATTTGGAAAAAAACCGCGTTTTGAACTTCAAGTCTTTTCCGTTTGGTCCGGATCAATTAAATCAGCACAGTATATTTGTGCCTAAATCAACTCAAAGTATTCTTCGAAAAAAATTTCTTCGAATCCAGAAAAAATGAAAACTGTTTAAGAAGGACATTATTTTGGTATTCTTATAACGGCACTTTGCAGCCAAATTAGTTTATAACTTAAATGAAGGTCCGGAAAAATTATAAAAGAAAAACATAGCCAACTGAGTAGGAAAAGAGTAATAAACGCAAGGAAACAGAAAAAAACTGACTTGTTTTTGATAAAACTCCAACTGTCGAGTTTCACAGAAAAATCTTACCTTAAAGCTCTTCGAATTTAAAGGAAAATTAATGATTGTCAGTTTTTTATTACGCTGTGAAAGCTGAAAAATAAAATACATTTTCGAAATTAGAAGTCGATCACGCTTTTCGTGACTTTTACAATTTTGCTGTTCGATAGTGGAGTTTGCTGTTCGATAGTAAAAACGCGAAAAATCAAAATTGAGCGTGAACAAATTTTAAGATTTTTTTCCTGTAAAAAAAAACTAACAAAAAATCACTTTCTATTGGTGAAAGTTAAGCATCAACAACACTGTGTGCTTACCAGAAAACATTTTAGGAAAAAAATCAGAACCTTTGCCAGAGCAACCAGAATGTGACGAGACATCTAAATTAGCACCGCTTCTCGAACAAGAACCTTCACCAAAATTGTCCAAATCACCGCCAACAACCTCATACACGAGTTCTCAATCTACTACAAAACCATGTCACGATAACTTACTCACGAAACCGAGGCTTTTCATTGGTCAAAAAAGTTCGGTTCAGTGGCAAGCAACGTCCAATTTATCAACAGTTCCTGTGCCATTTAAGAAACTGGCGCCTAGCAATCAACTTGATGTTTCGAACATACGCGGGAAATTAGGTTCACGTAGCCCGCAATCCTCATCGCCATCCGGAACATCACAAAACACACCAAATAGAGGCGGATCAATATCAATGCCATTTGTTGCGGTGTCACGAATGAAAGGTCGTCTCGGCCAGTGGAAAAAACGGGCGGCGGAGCGTCGCGAAAAGCGAGCTTTGGCTACATTATTCGCAATCCTGGCAACATTTGCAATTTGCTGGCTACCGTTTTTTCTCATGGCTTTAATTGTACCATTATGCGGTCCTAAATGTCAACCTTCAAGAGTATTGGGTTTGCTTATCGATTGGCTGGGCTACTTTAACTCAACTTTGAACCCGATTGTTTACGCCCTGATGAATGATGATATGCGACAAGCATTTACAAAACTCATGAAGAGAAGAACCTAAACTATTATTCAGTATTACCAACAATTGTAATATGATGAAAATAATCTGCTACAAAATTTTCGTTTTCCTATACAAATTTAGTTTTCATTTGACAAATATTTTTAGAACCTTAGCAACTTAAAAAAAAGAGAAGCACTAGGCCTTGTTCATAAGAATCTTGTTCAATTCCCGTCAGGAATCGACTTTGACCGAAATGGTCGAACCAGATGTCAAAGGTCGACCAAAAATACAGTCAAGCAGGGCCTCAAGTTGAAACAAAGTAAAAAAATAAAGTCGTACTGGGTCGAAACATGAAGTCGATGACACATAACTAATGTCTTATGAATTCATTGGAAGTTTTTTTTAAAAAACTTTAGGTGAATGAATTTGTACAAGAAAAATACCAAACAGCACCCGCAACCACGAAAAAAATATAAATGGTGTTTAGTTCCAGGTCGCAATTCCTGCTAACAAAACATGATTATGACAAATATAAACGGACTTTGTTTCAAAAACATAGATGTTGTCATTGTTTCGAGACGTCAACACGTCCTTGCACTATCAGCTGAACCCACTGCGATTGGTTGAGCTCCTTTTAGATAGCAGATGCCGAGTTTGAGTGTCGGGCTATGCACACGGCAGCGATTATTGCGATTCCGAGCACCAAACCACCCACGCCACAGAAGTAGAACATCTAAATCATCAACAATTGGAAGTAATTTAAAAAAAACTAACTGTTTACAGCCCGATACATTTAGAAAATTCATTATAAAAGAAATCTGAATAAACTTAGTATACATCTCGAAGAGTCACCAGTGGATCTACAGATTCTCTGAGAAAAACAAATTGGTTTACATTTTTGACTACATTGTTGAAAGCTTTGAATCAATTAATTAACCTTAACCGAAAAAAGAAACGAAGTAAGACAAAATTGGCACGAAAAACAAAACATATAACAAACAAGGATAGCCAGTTGGAAAAAAGTAGCACAGAAAATTCCGATAACAAAAAAAAACATGTTTTTTGTGCAAATTGTGATGTTTTGTTTTTGTTTGTTTGGCTATGAGCAGACCTAGACGAAAGCCTACAAAATAAAAACATTTAATACCAAAAGTACAAGCGCATATTTGACAGTAGCTTGAATCTAAAAATTATTCGAAAAAATACTAAAACATAAAAAAAAAATCATTTGAATTTTTCTAATTTTTTGCAAGTGTCGAAAAAAAATTAGTTCAAGTGCTGAAAACGAAAATTCTGTTCAACAGAGCCAAAAAATTGAACAAATGTCAGCGTATTAGGAGCGGCAATCAAAATAAAACGGCGATCGTTTACAATCTTAAGTGACACTTTAAGATTTTGAGCGAGAAAATTTGCAACTTAGACGTTTCGGCGCCAAAATAATTGTTTAATTTATCGTTGCAGACATTTTGGCGCCAAAATTGGAGTGATTTTCTTTGTTAATTAGCGTCAGTAATTTCCCGCTTTTTAGAAAATGCGTTTAAATAATTCTGAAATTTTTCCTGCATTATTCAGCACTGTTGTACTTCGGCACTGTTGAACGGAACTTTTTTTAGCGTGTTTTCAACTTTTTAGTTGTAAAACAGGCGCTAAAAAGCTTCAAAATCAATATTCCTGGAGTAAACTTAAAATTTTAAGCAATAGTTCGGTATTATAGGCCTACTCGTTAGCTTTATTTGCTCGAAACTAGACCAAAAACCGAAAATAATAAACCGGTTTTTCTCTACACCAAGGATTTTTTTAGAAAACTGTTAAAAGCATCGAATCAAAACTGCAATGGCTTGAGTGTGATATATCATTCCACCCCTTCCCATGGTTGTTGGTGGTATCTGAACTTTGCGTAGGAAAAACTAGAAAAAAGAAGAAAAAACTAAAACAGATACAAATACAGAGTTCCTCGCCACTTGCAGTGGTCGGAACCGAAAGCAAAAAAAAATGATAGAGGAGACATATGTTTCTCGACTAAATTTTGTTGTCCATGATGAACAATTCTAAATGACAACGATTGGAGTTTATTCCAAGGCCAATAACATTTTTCACTCATGCGAATTGGAGCTTAGCAACGCTTGCGATATACAACACGTAGCATTCATGATAATCTTAACCTACAATATTTGGTAAACCTAATTTGCCAAAAACAGGTGTCGTAAAATTTCAGCTATAACTTTGAAGCCAAAAAATTATACGGATTTTGAAACTCTCATTCAGGTTTTGAAACCCTTACCTACCTTACAAACCTAAGAAATTAAACACTTTGCAGCCTTCATTCACGCTGAAAAGCTTTGAATGCACAAATATTGATTTTGATCTTCAAGCGATGCAGCATAAAATTGATTGCCTGAATTAGTCCCTTCATTTAGTTGATCGATTCAGTTTTGTACTCAAAAACATAAAATGCACCGCTCCAAATGCAACCTTGAAATCAAAGTTAACGTTTTCGAAATCTCATTTAAGTAAATTTCTTCGAAAGAAACAGGTTTGATTTTTTTACTCACAGATCTGAAGCTGACGAGTTCTAGCTGGTTTGAAAATAACTTCGAGAATTCGTTTCACTTTTTGGTGTAGGACAACTTTAGTTGTATGCTAAAATCCTTATGTAAAAACAATCACTGATTAGCAGGTTAAACGTCAGTTTATAATTTGAAGCAGATGTTTAGTTGACAAAACTTTCCTCAATCAAGAAAACAAGACACAATTTTTAATGATTTGACCAAATTAAAAACTTATCTCTTTTCCAAAGCTTAAATTATTAAGGCCAGACTGTGGCCACAAAAGAGTCTTTTACGCTCAACAACTTGATTTGTTTAGTTTCACTTGCGAATCTTTCGGTTTGTTTTTGTAGTTTTTTTGAAGACCATGTGTTAGTTGTACGAGTTTAAAGTATGCTGATTGATTTTCAATTTTAATAGCAGAAGCTTATAATGATTTTGATTGATTCAAAGCTTTTTCGTGCTCTACAATCTTTCATTCAACCCTTAAATTCAAACTCCTCACCACATAGTTATCTGTAATTGCCGTTTTTAAAAGTTCCGAGATTTCTTCAAAAATTCAAAAAACTTGTGTTTCCCTAGTAAGTCATTTTGAGTTTAAAAATTTAGTCTAGCATCCAAAAACTTTTAATTAAACAAAACATTTTCAGCTTTTCGTCGGTCCGGAAAAAAAAAACGATTAAATACTAAAAAAATTCAACATGTTGCATATTTTACAGAAGTATGGGAAAGGACACGTAAACGGTGGTAATGGTTGTCTTAATTCGGTTTTGACACGTAATGGTTGTCACTTTTTCCAAAAATCAAAACAGAGCCAACAGACAGTTGGAAAAGAGTCATAAACGCAAGTAAACAGAACAAAACGGACTTAATTTTTGAAAAAAAATCAACTTTAGAGTTTCGAAAAAAAATAGATGACCGTACAGCTCTTTGAATATCTAGAACAAATTATGATTGACACTTTTTTGATTAAAAAAACAAATTGAGAAAACTGGATCAATATGTACAACTTTTATTGCGCTGCGAAATTCGATAAAAAAATTCAACTTTCGAAACCGGAAGTCGGTCACGTTTTTCGTGACCTTGACATTTTCGCTGTTAGATAAGGGAGTTTGCCTTCCCTTTAACAAAAGAAATGATCTACGCTTGAGAAGAAATCAAAAGTTGAACCACGAAAAAATATATATCTTTCAGCCTGAACAAATTTAAGACTTTTCCTGAAAAAAAAAGCTTAACAAAAAATCATCGCGAAATTGCGCTTTGCAAACACTAGCAAAAACACGACAAAAAAGCAGCTTTATAATGTGAAGTAAGAAAAAAACAGAAATAAGTCTCGAAGTAGTATAAAAATTCGTCTAGGATTCGATCAGCGCCCTATTGCAATCATGAGATTATGAGTCTCACGCACTAACCACTCAGCCACGCACGCTTAACCAGCGACAAACACTAGTCAAGAATGAGGCAGCTTCATATGCTAATCAATTGCCAATGCCATTCAGCAAAAGTGGAACCAAATACGAAAAGACACAATTTTGCAAATAATAATTTGGAATATAACAAACTGAAGACATCCACACTAACTTTGCATGTAATCAATTTGATATCATATAGCCACAGCATGTATCAAAAATGCATTTCGAAAAATGGCAACATATTGACTTAGATTTTTTCGGTTCATAGATTTTTTCGGTTCATTTGATGAAATAAAATGCATCAATTGTGTTAAATTATTACATTCAAATGCCTAAGCAGATACTATCAAAAATCCGTAAATGTAAACCAAAAGTGGCACCAATATTTGGGACTTAGGTTGGATAAAAAAAAAGAAGTCCTTCTATTACACTAACGCAAGCTCGAAAGAGTAAACACCGCTATGCTGGTTTCAAAATGAAATACCCCAAAATTTTCTTTCTTCGAATCAAAAAGCGACTATAATTAACTTCCACAAATGGTCAACCAGCACAGCGTATATAAATTTTTGAGATTTTAAATGAAATATTTAACCAACTAGCTATAGGAAGCTTTGAAACACAAAACTGAAAAACTATTTGGTTTACAATCAACAAAAAAAAAACAAACGACTAAAAAAAAAGAGTCACGATTAATGAACTTTTTATGTTAAACTGCTCTTAACCCCAACAATCTTTTCTTTAGGTACATACAACCGGAAAAAAAGAACATACCCCACCACAGTGACTTGGCGTACTTAATAACAAACGGAAAAAAACTTGTACCTTTTTAAGAAGTTCAACACCTGAAGTTCAAAAATTGGAAAATGAGCAAAATGCATTGAAAAAAAAAATTGGGAAAAACAAACTGAACCTGTTATAATCAAAACCATGGAATCTTTTTTTTCGCATTTTTATTTTCCGATCCATGTTTTGGAATAAAGCATAGCTCTTCGAACTATTAACGAACTTTGTACCAAAAAACATAGTAACACACAGTCAAAAAAAGTGTCAATGAATGAATTGTCTGTTAAAAAGCTTTCGAATTTTTAATTTTTAAGAAAAATTTATATCATCTTAAGTTATTTGACTTTTGTTAAAAATTAATAATTGAAAATTTAAAAAAAAATGCAATTTGAGAAAAAAACTGGACCAATGGTTAACTTTTTATTAGGCTGGAATTCTGAAAACTCAAATGTATTTTTGCAACTAGAACAAATTTACGTTTTTTCGAGCCTTTTGCTTAATCGTTATTCGATATTATTTTAGCAATCGAATTTAAACAACCTCTATATATACATATAAATGCCTTCAATAAGTTGATAGACACTTAATGATTTTTGAAGAAAAAAAAATTGCCATTTTCGAGATTTCAGAAGCAAACTAAATTGTCTTAAAACGGACTATTAAAATTCCAGTTTTTAAATGCAATCGACCTGTTCAGAGTAATTTTGATTAAAATTTATATTTTTTTTGCTTTAAATTAGAAAAAAGAACATTGAATATTCTGTTTGTGAACGTAAATGAACAAAATGATTTCGAAAGCAAGCTTCAAAGGCAAACCAAACGTCTGAGTATGAACTCTATTGAAAAATACTGAATACTCTTCTTGTCTTGAAAAAAAATACGCAAAAAAGACAATTGGCTCTAAATGATCTGAAACGAAGAAATATGAGCTGTTACACTCGAGAACTGTTAACCGCAACTTGAATCACGATTGAAAGTGGTATACTATAAAATCACTCGACCCCATCTGCTCTTATTGGTAGTACCAAAATTTGCGCAAAAAAAAAACAAACCAAATCATGCTACAGACGAGCAACAAACGAAATTGAGAGAAGCTATCGGTTTACCTGGTACATGATTAAAATTTGATTCACATGGATATCAATTTCAATTCTATGGAACATTTTTGGTTTGCAAACAGAAGACATCAACTTGAACAAAAACCAACTTTCGATACACAAAATATTAAATAACCGACTTTCTACACTACATCCTATTTTACATATTAGCACAAAATTTTAGTTTAATTCTAATAACGAAGTAGCTTCTATATAATTGAGGTAAGTTTCCTAAATTGATGGGCTCCTCAAATCATCGAATCATTTTCAGTTGTTTTTCATATTTAACGGCCTTGTTTATATTCTCAACTGGAATCTTGGCTACTGGATGGAATGGAGTTTGGGTTATTTTGGGCGGAAGATAGGAATAGGACGAGAATGATTGCGGAGATTAGAAAGAAGAGAGCCAGAGATAGTTCAGAGGCAGTCAGATTCCAGGGGGTCAGGGTCTAAAACAACAACACAAAAAAATCAAGCTACTTTTCAATAACAATTCAAAATTCCCATACTTAATTGAAATCATGCTCAATTTTGCGATTTGCATATCAAACAGTAAGACAAAACGATATGAATGGATGCAAATCAACATTTGTAAAGAATGTTTTTTTGTTTTTGCGCTATTTTAGGTTCTAAACAGAAATAATGGGAAAAACTTCTACGCATCTACTATAAATTATGAAAACCAGTGGAATATGACTGCAAATTAGTTTTGACAGGAGAGAATGATAGCTCTTACCTTCAAAATGTACATGACATTTTAGCTGAAAAATTATGAAACACCTCATTCCTATCTCACCTTTGAGTTTCCTGCTTCTTTCTGCTTTATGACTGTCTTCTGAGTTTCGTCTGAATTATCATCTGATTCTTTGATATACATATTATTGTTGCTTGGTTCCACTTTATTCGTTGGTTGCATCATGCGCAAGTAGACTTCCTTCTCTCTAGCCAAGTCAATTCTTCTTCTCTCTTGCACTTCACTCATCAGATTGCTGATCTCCTAGTCAACCAAACATGATCGGGCATAAATTAGGCCTTGGCTTGATTTAAACCCCAAAACATATACAAGGTCAGTGCATTAGAGAGTTTTCCTGATTAATGTTTGCCAGCGTTATACGCAAAACTATCTAAAAATAAACCCAAATATTACAAACTTCTGCCATAATCGTTTGTTGCCCTTCTGATTAATGGCTCAACCAAAAAGCGGATTTTTTGAAGTAGCTGAAGGATAGCGGGGTGTTGTACCATTAACACAGAATGTTCCGAGGACAATGATTTAAGAAAAACCAAAGTAAAAAACTTCTAAAATCGAATAAAAAATTTCTGTCTAACGATCTGATATTTTTTCCAAAAATAAGGTGAACAATTAAAAACCGAGTAGCAATAATAGCTAATGACGTATTTAGAGTAGAAACTCTGGGGGTGAACCTCTAATCGATATGTCTAATTTAGACTAAAAACCGATTTGTTCTCGAGACTTAAATACCTTTAATGAATTATTTAAATAATCGCAAACATAGCGATTTGACAGTTGGAAAGGAGTCAGTGAACACGAGGAAACAAACTGGAAGAACAGATGTCATTAAAACTCTTTGAATTTCTAAAACATTTTAGGATTGACACGTTTTTGATAAAATAAACCAAATTTGAGAAAACTGGATCAATAGGTAAAACTAGCTAAAATAGTTAGAAACGAAAATCCACTTTCGAAACTAGAAATCGATCACCTTTTTCGTGACCTTCACACTTTGGTTGTTCGATAGCGGAGTTTGCTTTCCTTTCATACAGAGCCAAGGCTGCGCTTCCGAAACACTAGCAAGAACACGACAAAAAAAGCTGCTTTATAAATAGAAAAAAGAAAAAATAGAAATAAACCTCGAAATAAGAAAGCTTTGCTAGGTATTGGACTCGAACCTGCGACCTCGAAACCCTGCCCGCTTGGCCACAAACTCTTTACAACCCACAAACAATAGTCACGAATAAAACAGCTATACATGCTAATAAATTGCCAATGCAATGCAGCAAAAGTTGCACCAAATACAAATAGACACAATTTGGCATGTACTAATTTAAAATACGCTAGCATCCATGCTAGCTTTGCATGTAATAAAATCAAATGCAAGAAGCTAATATATCAATAAACACAGAATCGAAACTGCGCTTCGCTAACACTTGCGAGAACACGACCAAAAAGCAGCTCTATCAAGTGAAATAAGAAAAAGTAGAAATAAGCCTCGAAATAGTAAAAACTCGGCTACGTGTAGGATTCCAATCAGCGACCTCGCAACATTGAGTCTCACGCATAACCACTCAGCCATGGATGCTGACATTCGCTAGTAAAATGCCAAGTCTATATCGCAAAAGGGGCACCAAATACAAAAAGACTCAATTTTGCATGCGATAAATTGGAAAGCATAAGGCCAAATTAAGTATAAATTAAGCATTTCAAAAAAAAAATTGCGAGATAAATTGAGTTGGAAAACTTCTGAAATCGAGATTTTTATCATTGTAGTGCTGTTTGAAACAATTACCTTTTTTCGGCTCGAACTAATACACTCGCTTCTAATAAAAAAATAAGGTTCGCAAGTGTAATTAAGCATTTCAAAGACGTTGCGAGATATATAAAGAGTTGGAAAATTTCTCAAATCGAGTTTTTATTATTGTACTGATATTTGAAGCAAATAGCTTTTTTCGGTTCATTTGAACGAACAGAACTGCATCAACTGTGTTAACTTATAACAAAGCGAATGTCGAAGCACACGCTATCAAAAAGCTGTAAAGGTGCCCCAAAAAGAGCACCAATATTTGCGACTAAGGTTAGAAACTACCTATAACACTACCTCACTAAAGTTCGCAAGTGTAAACAAAGGAAATGAAATGAACTTAAAATAAATCAAAATTCAAACCTCGAAAAAATAAATTTGAGCCTGAAGAAGTTCTAGGCTTTTCCTAAAAAAATCATCACGACCTATTTAAGAGTCTGAGCTATTTCATCGACTCTTAACACCAAAACATGAATTTGAATGTAAGTCAATTTTAGTTTTATCCTGAAAAAACTGCACGAACTAAATAAGTGAAAACTTACTTTGAATATCAAATTCCGTTTAACCCAACAAAACAACTGATTCCGAAAAAGCAATGCCTTCAAATTAGCTCGAAGGAAATGTCGATTTGGGATAAACTAATGGATATCGGAAGAAGCTATTACCTTGTCTTTCGGGTGCATTTCTCTTGCCACTTTCAGCACTTCGATTGCTTCAACTATTTCTCCCAGACGGTAGAAAGCCTAAAAGGAAATCATTAATCAATCGGAGTTTTTCAGAAACAAACTTTTTTTGAAAATAAAAATAAGAAGAAAATACATTAGACGGAAAATACAGAACATCAAAGAAAATAAGGACAGATATAAAAAAATAATTTACTGATCCGAGATACAACGCAGCTTATACAAAATTTCAGCGATCTATTTGTCTTCTGATAAACGGTAAGTCCACTTTCTGTAAATACTCTCCGAATTGACAGGAAAAACTTTTCCTTGAATTGTTCATAACAGCTTTCTTGCTAATATACCGAATTGCGTTTATAATACGAAGTTATGAGAAACAAATGCATTCGCCATTTGGATTGATCAAAATGCCAAATTCCACTTCATTGTTGCAGCGGTGAAAAGGCTCCTCAAAATTAAACCATGAAACGTTGAAGAGTTTATATTTTTGTATTGATATAGAAAATAAAGATAGGGAAGATATAGGGAAGATAGATTCAATTCGACTTTTTTAAACTTACCGTAGCCTTTCTGAATAGCGCCTTGGCATTATTGGGCTGTATTTCTAGCACGAAGTCACATGATACTATGGCCTGTCTGTATAATTCACAGTGGAGCTGAGAATGCGCGAGGTTATTGTGTATAGCAACTGTCCACTGTTGCATCTCATCAACCCCCAATTTGGTCTCATTCTAAATTGAAATTCAGATTAGACAAACTAAATAAGAGACCTGCTACCATGATGCGGGCTCGCTGCGTGAGCGGAAGGCAACATTACCCGGCCCCCTAAGATAGCCAACAGTCATTTGGAAAGCTACATTAAACTACAAGATGGAAAATAATTTTTCAATTTCAAATACACAAATATAACATTTCAGAGCTGTTTGAATTTAAAGAATATTTTATGATCGACACTTTTTTATATAAAACTAGCCCAATTAAAGAAAACTGGATGAGTTGGTAATTTTTCTATCCCACTGTGCGATCTAAAAAATTAAATTAACTTTTAATACTGACAGTCATTTTTGTTGTTTTGAGCCATTTGTACGGTTTTATTTAAAGAGCGTGATTTGCCTTCATTTTAGCATAAAAAAAACGAAAAGAACTAGAAAAAGTCAACCACCAAAAATAATAATTAAAATATGATCAAATTTGAAGCTTTATATTTAAAATACCGAACGATTTAAATAATGTTTCTCCACTTGATTCATGACTTTTAACATTTAACAAAAAGCATTCAATTCTTAATCAGAGCCAAAAATAGGTTCTCTCTGGCCACTTTTTTCAAAACAAAAAAAAACAAGCCTTACTTAAGAAAAATAAAGAATTTATTTCTTTGTCCGTGTTTTCAATAGAAACAATTTAATTTGAATAACATACTAACTCAATTAATAAGAAGAGAACAGACAACGAAAAAACTACACATAACTGACAACAATTGTATTCAAAAAAAACATAGCCAATCGAAGATTGGAAAAGAGTAATGAACGCAAGTAAACATAAAAAAAGACACTGACTTCCTTGAAAAAATCTCTTTCCAATTTCAAAGAAAAAAATTGATACACTTTAAGCTCTTTTAAGATTGGCGCTTTTTTGATAACATGAACCCAACTAAAGAAAACTGGATCAACAGGTTAAGTTTTTACTCAGCTGGAAAAGTTAAATTCAACTTACGAAACTAGCAATCGTTCACGTTTTTCGCCCCATTTCCATGTTCGTATTTGGAGAGAGCTTTTTACCTCACTTTCAGCAAATTGTTTTCAATTGAACTCAAAAAGTGCATTATACCTAAGTGCATCAATATTTTAACACTTTTTCCTGAAAAAAAAATTAGAAAAAAAAGTTAGTAAGACCTATATAAGAGTCTTCACTATGTTCATTACTCTTAATCAATTTTTAAAAATTAAAAACTTTTCTCAAAACTTTTTATTGCCAAGGAAGTGCTAAATGAAGCTTCCAAAACTAATTTTTCCTGAGTAAAAGGTAAAAATAGGTGTTCATATTCTTTAATTAAATAAACTTTTTAGCTTAACTTCGAGTGTTATTAGAACTTCTTACAGTTTTTTTTTCAAATTTTCCTTTTTCGGCGTAGTGCGTTTAAAGGATCTGAACAAAAAACTAGAGCTTAGGCATATTCGACAATCATAGTAAAATATGCAAGATAGAAAACAATTTTTGTTAAAATTTTTTTGATTTTGTTTTTTTTTCTATTCATTTTTCTAATTTTTGATTCCAAAAATGCACTAAAATGCTAAAAACAACTACTTTTTCTCCCGTAGAACTAAATTTTTACGGCCTAAATTAAGCTACTGTAAGCTTTTCAGCCTTTAAAATAAGCTAACGCAAGCTCATTTATTCGCTCGAAATTAGACTAAAACTAAAAAACTTCAAACCGATGTTTCTCGACACTGGGAAACTTTTTGGAAAGTTTTAATGCTGCTCAAATCACGACTGAAAGAGCTTTAATATGATATCTCACTCAACTCCCCATTTCATTCCGATGATTATTTATGGTACCTAATTTTGCGTGGAAAAAAAAGAAAAAATTCAAATACACCAAAATACAAAGCTTCCACCCCAAATTCAATGGTTGGAACAACAAGCAACTGTGCGGCATATACCTCACACATCTCGTAGCTACATTATGTTACACGAAAAATTGTACTCGAAGAATTTTACATGTTTCGTTTTTTAATAGCATGCTAATGAATGAGACTTTACATATCAATTTTAAAAAAAAATTGTTTTAGGGATAACCTTTTGCGCTTTTATAATTTTGAGTTTTGTAAAGAAAACAATTCTTTTAATCGTTTTTCGACTTAACTAAGTGAGCTTTCATGATACATATTCTGAGACTCAAAACTCTTGGTTTTTGTTCACTTGCCTCTTCTGCTTGTATGAGCTTGAGTGCCTGATTGTATCCATTCATGGCCTTCTCCCACTCTTTTCTCCTGGTGTAGAAATTTCCCTTCTCTTTTTTCACTCGCCTGAAATAAAGAAGACAAATAATTTTAAAAAATAAACGAGAAGATGAACAAAATTAAAACCTGCAAACTCTATTTTCACTGAAAATGCTGAATTTACATACAAATTACAAAACCACCAAAAACCATCGAAAAATCAGCAAAACACGCACCAAACAAGTCATGACAGTGCACAATCCGATCTGGAAGTTTCCAACAAAAACTACGCAAAAAATCGGCATTTTCCTCATTATACCTACAGCGCATATGTGAGTTGTTCGCCAGTGTAGAGAGCAAAGTCAGATGGGAGGTCTTTAGCATTCAGAAGTTCCAGAGTCAGCCGCACATCCGTATCGGCAGCTATCTCCACATCGGGCCTAGTGTAATGAACAAAAACCATTAAAAAATTTTTCACGACACGACACGCTTGACGCCATTGAATTTCTACTTCGCCAGAAATTGCTTTGATAGCAGTGGCTACAGCATTCAATTTATACAGAAAAAACGTTGTAATTCTAGATCATTCCTATGCGTTCGAGTGCTCGAATAGTTCATAGAGGGGTTAATTTTAAGCGGTACCGAGGGTTTCCAAAAAAGAATAAGCTGCTTTTACGAAAATACAGCGAATGAAAACTTTCTTACCATCCACGAGCATCGTGTGCAAATTCAGACTTCATTTCCGCAGGTTTGCTAAAACAGGGCTAATGTTCAGATGTTTAGCTTAGAAGTGCAACTTGCCAAGCAATTAACATAGATACTGCAATGCGGTCCCCAATCAATGATCATAAGGGATAGATCAAAATGAGATATTTTTTTTGATGCCAAGTAAGACAATAGCCAGAGCCTAGTAATACTATTGACACTTTTAGAATCAAAACAAAATAAACGAAGTGGTTAAAAAAAGTCGGTATCACTTGAGCAGCCACTCGCTGAGCCGAAAAAATTGTCTTGATAAAAACTTCATTGTCTCAAAAAATTTTATACCCCCCAAAACACAAATTTAAAAAATTTCGCTCATCAAACGATGCAATATGAGGTGATTAAGCCGATATAAAAATATACACAGAGGCGAAGCTGAGCTTCGCACCACTTGTGATTCAAAAATGAATTATTATCATTAAAATCAAACGAATTACTAAATCAAAAAAAATTTCAACAAAAGCCAAAGATATCTGAAAAAAAATTATCTGCAACATTAAAAACTATACAAGGAGCTTTCGCAATGATAGAAAAAAACGAATATTCGAAACAGACCTTTTAGCGGAATTAAGCCAACAAAAAAGGCGGACAGGCAATACTCTTAATTAGCCGAAAAATTTCAGTTTGCAAAAAAAACCGGTCTCGGATGGATTCGAACTCCCGGGCTTTGACGTCTCAAGCATGGGGTTTAGAGCAACTTGGAAGAAAGCGGAAACTTCAAAAAAGTCATACTATGGAAACCAAGCCGACAAAAGAAAGAGACGGACGATAGTCAGAAAAAGCACAAAAACTCTAGTTAACAAAAAAAAAGAAATCCCGGCCGGATTCGAACCACAAACCTTTGCAGTCTCAAGCAGTTGTGTTACTTTTCCACCGGAGGCACCGGATGGTTGATTGATTTTGAATTTATAATTACCAAGAGGTAACAAAGCCGAAAATATCCGAACAGAAACCCTTCAAGATGAACAAAATTCACACTAAATTCAAACCTTCAAGTCCCCTTCCCCCTCAGAATACACAAAAAAACTGTCGATTTAAAAAAGAGACCACTTAGTCGATTTTTAAAAAAATCGAAACCAATTAAGCCAAAAAAAATTAAATAAAAAAAACTATTAAAGAAATCGGGTGTAAAATTTAGGAAATCGAGTGGAAAAATACAACCTAGCGGAAATCAAATATCGATTCGACTGGATTTTTAAAAGGCCAAAATTCTAAAAGCAACAATATTAATAACTAACTAACTAAAAAATTAACGAACGAACGAACTATTTAACTAATTAACTAGCTAGCTAACTAACTACTTAACTAACTAACTAACTAACTAACTAACTAACTAACAAACAAACAAACAAACAAACAAACAAACAAACAAACAAACAAACAAACAAACAACCTAACCAACTAACTAACTAACTAACTAACTAACAAACTAACAAACTAACTAACTAACTAACAAGCTAACTAACTAACTAACTAAATAACTAACTCACTAACTATATAACTAACAAAATATCGAAATAAACCAAATAACAGAAGCTACAACCGTTTATCGGAAAAAAATCAAAAACCGAGAAAACGCATATCCAAAATCCGAGTTGATAAAATTACAAATGAATAAGACAATTTTCAACACAGACGTGAAGTTGCACTTCGAATACACAAGCAAAAATATGACCGACAACGCTACTGGGAAAAACTGAATGAGTAAAACTTTGAGCCTACAAAATTTCTTAAGTGACGCAAGCCAATTATGAGTCAACATAATTGCAAAGTGACGCAAGCCAATCATGACGCATTAGCAGTACCAGTCAACTTTAAAAAAAATTACCAACTAACATGCCTCAATTTACATAGCGGACTCATTTTAACTAGTATACGAAAAAGCTCATTAAAACATCCAACCTTGCCCAGGTTCGAACCCTCTTATTTTGTTGCGGGTCTCCTCCCTGCCTCTAGGCTACAGATCCACGAAACCTTGAAGCTAAAGTGATATTTTTAATACGAAACTGCTCGTATCAGAGCAAATCCCTGAATGTTCTGACTGCCTTTTAAGATCTATGGAGCAGTAATAACATGAAAAAATTACATGATAATTAAAATGAGATTTTTTTTTAATTTGAGTTTTTTTTTGTGAAAATCATCCCCCTTACGCCATATAAACTACAGAGTGATAAATTTCGCTCCTAGAAACAAATCAATTATGGCAAATAAGCTTCCTTCAACCAATTTGGAACGATTTCCGAGACGGATTAAATCTCCGCTTACGCGTTAATAGCGCGAAAAATATCGGGTATTAATTTTTCAAATTGACCAAACCGACCATTTTCAAACCCCCATAACTTTACAAAAAATGATCACAGATGAAATATCTATTCAAATTTAAGCTCAGAGGAACAATACCTTTTGAATGATTCCGTCAAAAATAGCTAGTAAAAAAATCAAAAAAAAACACCGAGCACAAATATTCCGTTACTTTTTTTATGAAAGTCGGAACAATATTAGTCGGTGTTGATATCCTTAGCATTGGATGTACTTAATAGCTGGTATTGATCAAAATGAACACTTTCAAAATGAACACATTTTACCGCAACAATTTTTGCATCACAACATTTGCGACTTAGGTTGGAAAAAAAGGATAGTTCAGACTATAACATAAGCCATGCTTGTGTAATGAACCAAGGTACCAGCAGGCGTCCAGGTGAGTCTGTAAAACAAAATTATTTACCTAAAAAGTCTAGCACGTGATTGTAATACCCTTGCTTATCGCTAGAGTAAAGAAGCGAAGCCCAATACTAAAAAAAAATGAGAAATGAAATTATACTGCGACTGTACAAACTGCTCAGCGCATGGCTCTTCTGTGCAAGCACTCATTCTGTAAATGTGTACTTGGGGTTATTACCCCTAGAGTTTTATTACTCTGAATTCATTATTATTATTATTATTATTATTATACAAAAACGGAGATTACAACCAACAAAGAATAGATAGGTCTTTAAAATCCCAAAATGATCAAAATGTGTCTGTTGTTGACGGAATCAGTGGACAAAATGACTGCAGGACAAGTCTGTTTGACAAGTTGTTAGCATGAAAAAGAAATCTAGGTTCTGATTTGATTTCAAAGCGGCATTGGCAAGTAGGGAACGGTGCTAGTGCAATAAACCGATGTAGCATGAAACCGAAACTTTAATTAGTAATATAAGTTACTTCAACTGCTACGCGGCAGTCAGTGTTCGGTTCAAGTCATTGCAGGTCGGGTGGACAAATGAAAGTTTTATTGCTTTATCGATTTTTGCTGCAGCGGTTTATTGCACGTCAGTATTTTTATACGTGCAAAAAATTCCGCATGCTAATCGCCGCCAATGTTAATAGGCGGCCGTTCCCTATGAAATACATGGGCAATGAAACTTTTCCAAATCCACCGCCTACCTAATATAGAAGTTGGGGGCATTATAGTAGTGGCCATTGGATAGAACTTATTGGACAATCTACTGGACAATCTATCCCATGGTAACTACTTTTCTACCTCAATTACAAAACTAGGAGATGGTCCTGTAGGTAGATCCAAATCTATAACTTCAATCAGCTAGCATCATGATTTGCTGAAAACAATTTTGAATATTTGATATTCTGACACTTCATTGCCAAGTATTTTTACTTATTCCATTCAAAATGTTTTGGCATTGCAACATTTATTAACTGGAAAACGAAAGGTTCCTTCAAATTATGTTTTACAACTAATTTAATTGCAACCAATCATACTCGACTATTTTCATTTCTGGTTTCCATAATTAAAAATTTATGAATTTGTGTGGAATAATTAAAAATATCCCAATATAGTGCAGGAAATAGTACAAGAACAAAATAAATTAAATCTACTCACTATCCGATTGATCCGAAAGCGAATCTGGAGGCACTCTCCACCACACACAGTTCATTCATCTGCATCAACTGCACACACAGATCCACAGCTGCAACCAAGATAGGCTCAGTTTAACTCCGTTCAGAGATGCCAAAAAGGATCACATTTGGATTCAATTGTAGTCCTACCAAACTTTTTCGTGGCATAAACTGATGCACTACTTACATACAAAAAATATATTTGCAGTTATCGAAACAAAATTATTATTAAAATCAAATTCTACAACTGTCACTGATATTAGAAACATCCAGATCCAAAAATGTAATTTTTCGTTTTGCCCTTGTTCCCTGTTAGTGTTAGTTTTAGCAAGTAATTTATCTATCTGCTGACCCCAAGACGACATGAAACCTAATGCGGCTCAAATTAAATTTTCGCCAAAAATTTTTTTAGCACCACGGAAGTCTTCAAGTCAAAACTTCCCACAAATTCTGACTCTTACCGTCGATGACATCTCCATCTCCCAATTTGAAGTCGAGTATGGTCTCAGACAGCAGGCTTGAGTTGTCCTCTTTAGATTCAAGAGAGTACTTCACAGTAACCATTTCTCCCTTTTTGGGCTTCGTGTCTTCGCCATATCCTTTTCTCAGCACCTAAACAACGACTGAAAATTGGGAATTCTAATTAAAAGATGGATAATGCTAATTTAAAAGTTCTAGAAGTGTAAACTGAACGTATTTGCTAGCTGCCGCGCAGTTTTGAAGGTAAGTGCTGAAAGCTACTTTGAAATTATTCGATGAATTAAACAAATATATTACAACAAGCATGTTGTTTTCACCTTTTTCCGCAAACAACCCGTGCCCAGAATGTCGTCCCATCCATCAGTCATTTCTGTTCTTTCCTCTTCTGCATCATTGTTCATGGAATCTTCTAAATATCAGCACTATCAACCAGTATTCGCTTTCCGATCAAATTACTTCCATAAAAGATTTCAGAAAAGACGCCATACGAACATTGAACATTACACCACATTTTTGAAAAATAAAATCATATATTACAAAACACTTTTCTGGTAACCAAGATAAACAAATGAAAAAACATCGGTACTTATAGTGCGCAAATTTTGATGTTAAAAGCAAAATCATAACAAAAAGCCAATTCATCGATGCATGAAATTTCATTAGCTATAGTTCGATATTGTATCTAAATTTAATAATCCAAATTGCTGTTTAAAAAATTGATTGGAAAACCTTGAGCAAATTACCTGTTGATAGACTTTCTTTTTCCAGCCCAACCTCTTTCACATCTTCAATTTCCTCGACTGACCTTTCACCTTCATCTTTCGGTTCACTTTCATTTTTATCTTCAAATTTGTCTTTAATTTCACAGTCCCTTGCAATTATATCGACATCGCCCGTGACTTCATGTCTGGCATCATCTTCATTGCGACACTCCTCAACTACCGTGCTGCCCCCACTCACATCGAAGTCGTTCCCTGCCTCCTCTCCTGTATTCGGGTGGGGGTAATTCACGTCGCCTTCTGACTGCCCAACGAGGCCTTTATCACTTTCCCTGTTTTCACAGAGATGTTTTATTCATGATGCTTTCAATGTTTTAGTTGCCATAAAAAATATTTTGACTACACAAGAATTTTTTTAGTTTTGATGATTTTTATCATTTCTGGAAAAATAGTTTCTATAAAATTACCTTCATTTTTCAATTTATTTTGAAGAAATGCATAGCGTTGAACTTTTGGGCGTTTCTGCATCTTCTTAATCTTAATTTCCAAAAATCTGAACACAAATCAATTATGGCATCTTATTGTTTAGACCTTTTACTTTTTTGAGAAAAGTAATTGCAAGATCGGAGAGAGCTGACGCCGCAAAATTTCAATGGGAAGTTCAGAAAATAAAATTACATTCGACTTATTTAACTTCTCCAACTAAAAAACCGCTGCCAACCAACATGAATACGCATGAATAAAACATCACTGTTCTCTATTCTCCATATCTTCCACACTATCATTGCCTGCCCATTCTACTCCCTCCAAATCGCCATCTCCAAAATCAGAAGCCGAACAATTCACACAAGTCGATAAATTACCAATCGTCACATCAGTTACGCATGAATCGACTCTCTTCAACAAGTGGCGTTGGAGCAACGAATCCGAAACCTCGTCGCACTCTCCGGTCTTTAATCCATTTTGGTTGTTTTCGTCTTCATAATTTGTAGCTTCGTCGTTACGTGGGTCCTTGTCGTTTTGCAACGTGATTCGTTTATATAACTCGTTCACTTTGCGCGTATTTTCTTCCGTGTATGGCATTTCTTCCAAATCACCAGCAGCGCCATCTAGAGCTTCAGTTCCTCCCATTGCGCCGATATTTTCCGTATTTATGTTCTCGGGATCCCTTTGAAACTTTTCACTTGACTGATCTGTATTTGATTCTACCTCTGAGTTTACTAACTGTTTAGATGTCACTGCAGTTGTTGAACTGTCTTCGTCGAAACTCCTGGTCGCCAACGAGGTGTCCTCACTGTCCAAAGCTGTCGAGGCCTCGGTTCCATGCGCAAATGACGAGCAGGTCTCGGTTTCCGAAGACGCACTTCGTACTTCCATTTCACGAGTCTGTTCGGTAAATGAAATCGAACTCGGTTCCGAGATCGTATCCCCAATGTTTTCATTGGACGCCTCAGGTACATTTGATTCAGTAGCACCTGAACTTTCTTCACTATTAGGAATGCTACTGCTGTCTTCTAAAAAACAGGTAACTTCGGATTTAACATGACTTACATCGTTAGTAGTTGATCCTAACTCGCAAGTAGTCGATTCTGTTTCGCCTTCCACGAATGAGTTAGTGCTCTCGTTTGATTTGTCAATAATGTCATCGTCGCGGACAACTGGATTGGAGGTATTCGAGGTCGCATTCGTCAGGACTCCGTAGCTCTCAGATGATTCTCCAGTGCATTGAGAGTCGGTTGTCTCGGAGATGTTCAAATAGGAGCTGCAGCTACTATTGGCATGAACAGAATAAATTTGAATTATATGAATAACTGAATCCAGCTGAGTAAAACAAACAGGTAAAACCTTGAGAAAAATAATCCAATCCAACGCCATAGTATTTCTTTAAAAAATCCATAAACTTCAGATTGTCAAATGTCTTAAGATCGCCCGGAATTGCTGATTGATTTTAGGCCTAAATTTATCCAAATGAATTTTGTAGAGTTTACTAATTGGTTACTTACAAAATTTTTGACGACAATCACTAGAATTTGTTTCTGTACTCATTTAGTTTAAAACTGATAATACTGTGAGCAAATGATACCTGTTTTCAGCATGCGATTCCAAAGTATCCGTTCTTGGAATATCTTTCTCATCAAGCGCCAACCCCGCTCCAACTATCGAACTACTGTTCGTCATTGGTTTAGCTGAACACAGACTCAAATCAACTGTATTATTACTTCCAAAGCTGTTCTCATCTTCAGTCGTTTTCGAGTCATCGCCATTCGATGCAACCTGTTGTATATGTTGGCCAGTAATCTCAGTCAGAACTGACTCTTGGCCGGTCGTTGCAGCCGGAAGCGTTTCTTCAGTTGTCGGCTCAACGAGTTCCAGAAGAACTTTCGGCTGATTGCCTCCCTCTTTGACATTTTGATCATTCAAACTCATCCCCTCGCCGTTTTGTTCACACGTTACTGCATTCGGCTCTTCGCCGTTTTCTACTTGCACGTAATCGGCCATTTGTGGTAAAAAAAAAACGGTCTTCCTCGTTCAGAATAAAGAAAATAACAATTCAGATAGTCAGCATAATTCTCAATGAAGAGAATCGATTTTATCCACAAGATAGGGAATTTTGTCACTTCTTATTGATTAGTTCGCGGTCTCAACAATGACCAACTGAAATGAAATAAGAGCAATTTTAATCTACAGAAGTAGTTATACCGACCGCAGTTTGTTAAATTAAACGTCCAAATAGTCTATGAAGAGCTGTATAGTTTTGTTCACGTTTAGTTTGATACTATGAAACTGCTATCAGCTAATAAGTAGCACTTAGTATTTAATGAGTACAAAAAGGCATCCGGTAATGCGTGATGACATACTGAAGGTTCGAAGTCTTCAGAAAAAGGGGTAAAGGAACTGAGCAGAGAAATGTTAAGGTAAAGACTCGCTGAAAATACCTCATCGACAAGCACCAGTGCTCATTAAATCTTGAGTGCGGTTTTTATAAATATCATACTGAAGCATTTTCAGTCAGAATTTGAGCTGCAATAAAAAACATTTAGAACATAGCCAAGAAACTATGAAAATCATTGATGAACACAAAAATTCGAAATGACAGATACTTCGTAAAAATTTTTAACTAAAAAAAGTAAAACAAACTTACTAAGATTTCAAGAAGATTTAATATTTGATACTCTTTGATCGATGAAGCCAAACACAGTTTAAGATAACTGGATCACCCGGTAATTTTTATCCCACAGAGAATTCCAATAACTAACACCAATTTTTGGAACTAAAAGTCATTAACAATTTTTCACGCCATCTGTATAATCTACCTATTATTAGGAAACTGAATTGAAGGTGCAATAATTGAAGCCCAACCGAAAAAAAATGAGTGAAAAAACCTGAAAAAAAAAGAAAAATTACACAACCAACTAAATAAAAATTTTAACTGGTTCATTAAGAAGTTTTGCCGGAATCGATTAAAAAAACTGGTCGGATACTTTTCGCTTTTATCGATTCCTGGTCGGAAGCTTTTCCATCTCTTTGCGTTCGCATGAAGATCCCTGTGTAGTTTTTGAGTAAAATTGCGTACGGTCGCTTTATCGTAGAAAGTCAAGTGTGGTTTCATATTGAAGCCATACGTCTCTACTCTACGGTTTAAACGTAAAAAAAACACACGCGTAATTGATAGACAAAAAGAAACACTTAAGCTTCTTGGGCTAGACTTTCCAATTCAGTCACACTTTCAATCCATGGTACGTCAACTCTTATACTTTCAAAACAGAACAATGAAGATTAGCAAACTGTTCGAGTCTCATAAGAGATCGGTCTGCTGAAAGACCTAGCCACCGTGTAGAGTTGGCGATTCTACTGTATTACATGCCATAGTAACCTGAGCGTAAGATTAATTAGTCACTAAGTTAAGAACTACAGCAAACAAATGTTTGAGCTCAAAATAGTTCTAGTTTGAAAGAATTCGTCAATCTTGTGCCAGAGAACAGAAAAACAACAAAATCGGCGAACCCCCCCCCCAATGGGAACTAAGGAATCTTATGTAATGAACTCAGAGGTGCGGTATTAGAGATGATTAGACCCATGGGGTCTAATAAAATAATAAAACCGGAAGTGTAAATAGCCCTATAAGAACTCGGCAACTAGCGGCAGTATTGGGCTCAAAACTTAGTATGTTGTAGGCCTAGTTGAGGGAAGCATAAATTTAGAAACGCAGACCCCCAGGACACCTACTTTCGGTTTTCATTCATAAAAAATTAAAACCACCATCAAATTCCGGAAGTTGTTTTTCGGCCCCCAATGAACGGAGCGATGATAGGTAATGGCAAAATACATCTTGGGTTATAATTTGAACCATTTTCAACGATTGGATCGGAAGATATAAGCACTTGGAAAACACCCCCTTAGACCGGAAATAGGCAATTTACGCAAATAATAAACGAGTGCATGTTGATTTTATTGCGGCAATAGACATGAGATACAAACCCCAAAAAACACCCCTAGCTGATAAAACCCTTCCGGCGACTCCTTCTGGTTGTTTAATCGCCAATTCCAGGGAAGTGATAATGGTTCTTAGAAATTGAATAACTTGAAGTATTAATGAGATAAGTTTGAAACCCCCATGAGACCCCATACCTGTCCAAGAAACTTTGACTGCAGGCGACCCCTGTGTGACCTTAAGTTGACCTTTGGGTTTTATGACCTCAAAAATGCAAAAAAACGCCGGGATTAACGCCGGAAAATGACGTATTTCCCAGACCCAATCGTTCGGAAACAAGAAGTGGTCACCTTACTAATAACTGAGAAGAAACTTGTATATTGGGACCTGAAGCAGAAGCTGATATAGTTGTACATTGCAACCCTGAAGTAGTAGAATTAATTCAAAGTGGACTTGGTAAACATTGGGTATAGGTTAGCTTGGCAAATGATCTTTTAAAAGCAATTCAACTGAATTAAAGAAAAGTAGTCCAAGAGGAAATTGGCAGTAGTAGGACCGCGGCATGAGAATTAAGTCTCCTAAGTACTATGAACAGACGGAAAATTTACTTGGCTCCCTGGATGTGTTTTTTTTTGGCTTATCCGACCCTAATAGGCGAACAACATACCCCTTGATAGCTAGGTCGGGATTGGAAGAATAGATGGAAATTTAGTTATTTGGAATATATTTGCTACCCATGAAATGGGTCTCCCCCTACCCTCGGGAGGTCGAAACCTTAACGGGATAAATAAAGAATGCATGGTTTGGAGATTGAGTGGAACTCGAAGGCTGAAGCTCACGGAGGTCAAGAATTAGTTGATTAGGATCGTATGACATATGTTTGCATGGTCGAATTGTGGCACCTATTGAATACCGGGTATCTAATAAGCGTGAAAAGAAACCGAACTTGGATCGTGGCAGTGTTGATAGGGGGATGGACGTAGTCATAAAACATATATGAACAAAAGATTTAAGCGGCTGCCAGGACTGATCGGGAATGGCGTGACTTAACTAAAACCAAGTTTAAATAAATATAAGGAACTGGAGGGTACCGGAGAGCCTCCGAGAATTAGAATACTGACGCTAAGAGAGGGAAAGGTTAGTTCTCAGTTAGAGAGAACCATTGAGCAAGCAGAGAAGAATAGTTGGCCCGTGGAGGACGCAATTGCTTGAAGCGAGGCTAGTTGGGTCTCACAGTTGTTAGTAATTATTCTAGCTGATTTGAACCCGAGTTTAGTACCGAATTGAACTATTTGTGTGAGCAAGTTGCGCTTGAACCCGAGGTACCGGGTTGAATTAATTGTGTGAGCCAATTGCGCTGTTGGAGGAGGCGAGTTTGGAATTGCGTCTAGCGAGGACTTGAAGATAGAGTCAACAAAGCGGCTAAACGGAACAAAACGCGGGCTTAGTTATAGTAGTTAGCTCATTGAGGGCATTGTATAATGCTTTTAATTTCTCTGTGACGATGAATTTACTTACTGTGCCCACTATTTGCTGAATTAGCTAAGAACGCAAGAGAAGACCCGAAAAGAGCGTAAACTAAGGATGAAGTTGCGCAATTCTTTGATCGGTCAAATTAGTGTGACCAAAAACATAACCTTTTCGGGATTGATGATAATATCGTCTTAGTGTTGTCCGCTTTTAGACCGTATAAAGGAGCGAAACTCTGCGGCTGTTAAGTAGAGTGAAAACGTGCTTAAAAGAGACGACTCCCCGAGAAATTCTACACACCGTATAATTTTCAGAACACAACGCTTAGGGACAAATTTTGCTCTATAACCCTTAGAATCAAAATATTAAAAAGCATTCATTAAATTTGATGCTTTCAAAAAATATATCACTAGGAAGCTATCATTATTCTCGAATATTGTCAGGTTTATTACAATGACATGGAATTGTAAGTACACGAAATTTTTTAAAAGTGCTTCAGCCTAACTAGAATACCTGATGAAAATCTTCAAATGAGCCTTTAGAATCCTTAAATTTTCCAATTCTTTATGAGTTGCCGGATTTAGCGCTTTATTCCAGTCCAAAAAATAACATCAACAAAAAATAAGAGTTTGTGTTTCATTACATATTTCATTTAGCTGACGCAATGAACAACGGAATTTGCTTTTGTTCCAACCTATCAGATGATTGTTTCAATTACAAACAAAAGATTCTCAAACTAAATAAAAAAACAGGGGTTGAAGCCAGATGAGCCTATAATTTTTGGCCACCATGAATTTTTTAGCTACAAAAACGTCTAAACTCGAAAGTTGCAATTTAAACATACAACCAGAAATAAAACAAAAAAATAAAACAATTATTGCAATATAAGGCGACAAGCCGACATAAATTAGTCGAAATTATTCTAGCCGAATAAAACATTTTAAGCAAATGAAGAAAACATCAAAAAGATTTATTAATCTACAGCGAGCATTATCCAAAAATGTGAATAAAAATGGTAATTTGAAATGAAAATAATCTTGAAAATTTTGTAGGTCAAATATGCTTATTGAACATGATGATTCAGTGATTCTGTTATGCAACTTGTTAATACTAGAATTATTTATGTTTGATAAAAGACATTACGCAACTTCAAAAAATTGGTGTTGCCTTACAAAAAAGGGTTATAAAAATTATTACAGATGAGCGAGTTAAAACAAGACTGCTCGTATGCCACGGAGAAGCCCTAAATGTTCCGACTGCCCCTCAATCCAAATCGAAAAATTTTTTGGAAAAGAAAATCATGAAACACTAAAAATTTTTGGAGAAAATCTAGGATCAATTGTAATAATTTGAGTCACCCAAAATTATTACGATCGATTAGCTAGCCTCAATTCAATTTGGAACGATTTTGTTATGCGGCATATTTTGGCACATTATTTTCAGCATAAAGAATTAAATCTTCAAAACACGCATAATGTAGTCCATATCATGGCCAAATTGAGTAATTTAAAACTCCCAGAACTTTGCAAATGATTGGAGGTAAAATCAGTTTTTTTTACATTTGATTTCTTTAGAATTTTTTAGTCAAAAACTATGATTTGGATCGACAAAAATTGATGGATTAAAAAAACACCGAGCATAAACATTCCGTTTTCTTCGAAAGTCAGAACAATTTCTTCTCTTGGTCCCTGCTGCTCATTGTTGTCAAAAAACTTTGTCGTCTAATTAATATACCATACAGACTAAGCTGTCTTATATCATTTGAAAACAAAAATTAAACCTAGGAAGCCGAAGTCTCATTAAGTATAAAAGGCGAAAACTTCATCAGCATT